TCACAGGATGAAGGCTCCCGGATGGTTATAGACATCAAGTTCATTATCAGGAATGGGCATTTGGGGTGGTCTCTCCACTATTGCTTAGCTTGCCAATTGGTGTTATCCCTTTAGATCACTCGAGGTCGCTCTGGTGCCTGATCTGTCTTCTATCCTATGATTCCCTCTTCCCCCTATTCTACCCCCACCCACTCAACTTAATGTTCCCCCATGACCAACTCTCTTCCTCTTCACCCCCTCTCTTCTTCCCAGCTTCCACTCCCCCCACCCCTCGCTGTGTTCCCCATCCATTCAGAGGATCTTGTCTCAATCCTCTTCTCTTGGGTACTATGCATATATGCATATCTTTTAGGTTCTTTCCTGTTTCCCAGACTATCAGTGGAAGTGCAGACTGGCACTATCCTGATCCATGTCTAAAATACATATATGAGTGAGTACATACCATGTTTGTCTTTTTGCGACTGGGTTACTTCACTCAGGATGGTTTCTTCCAGTGCTATCCATTTACCTGCGAATTTCAAGGTTCCATTGTTTTTTTCTGCTGAGTAATACTCCATTGTGTAAATGTACCACATTTTCTCTATCCACTCTTCAATTGAGGGGCATCTAGGTTGCTTCCAGGTTCTGGCTATTACAAATAATGCTGCTATGAACATAGTGGAGCAGATGCCCTTGTTGTATGGATTTGCCTCATTTGGATATATGCCTAAGAGTGGAATTGCTGGGTCTAGTGGTAGATTAATTTCCATTTTCCTGAGGAATCTCCATACTGATTTCCAAAGAGGCTGTATGAGTTGGCACTCCCACCAGCAGTGGAGGAGTGTTCCCCTCTCTCCACATCCTCTCCAGCATAAATTATCTTCGGTGTTTTTGATTTTAGCCATTCTGACAGGAGTAAGATGGTATCTCAGAGTTGTTTTGATTTGCATTTCCCTGATGGCTAAGGATGTTGAGCACTTTCTTAAGTGTCTCTTGTTGTTTTAACCCTACTCTCTTTCCCCAGACATTCCAGGTGTCCATTAGTCCTGTGAAACAGGAAGCCCTTACTGGGATTCTCATGGTAACACATGCTCCACTCTGAAAGTGTTAAGGACAGTTCACACTAAGTGAGGTGAATAGCTGACTAAGCATTTCACATTTCTTTTGCCCACAAGCCATGTCTTCAAAAGTTCCTAAAACAAAATCAACACTTGTCTTATCTTGAAATCTTTATATTGTCCCCAATTATGAAGCCATACTGGAAAACAGTCGACAGAAACATTCTCTTCATACTCAGTAAAGGCAAAAGGAAGGTGGTTTGCTTTGTAATTGATAAGTCAATTTCTCAAAAGGCATCTTTTAAATTATACCCAGACCATGAAATATGTTTGGTCTTAATGGTTAAAAAACAAAGAACATACTAACAAAACTGGAGAGCACAGACAGCATTCATGTTCACTGTGCACATCATGACCTATGTGTACAAGCTCATCAGTGGTGACTGATGAAGTAGACACTTCCTGCCTAAAGCACCCAGTGTTCAAGAACAGTGAAAAGAGTCCCTCCAATAAAACTACTTTCTACAGCTTTGTCCTAAAGCGAAAGTGCCATGCCATTGTATGTCACCAGATAGGTAAATTCTCAATAAGCAAGATTCATCACTTTTAGATTAAAAACAAAACAAAGAATGGTTGATTTTACAACATTCATTTGTGCTTCAAATCCTTCATATCCAAGACACAATATCTTTAAATTTTTATTATTACCTCTTAGGTGAATGTGTAACATTAGGGACTTGTTTTTTACAACTTTAAAGAACTTATAATTCTCTAGGTAATTTTTAATTCACTTTATAATAGTTTCCAGTATTCCACTATCTTAGTGGGCTTCTTTAGAATATATAGTTGTGGACTGTCGGAATGTCACACTGACGACCTTCACCTAACATACAGCTATAAATAACAGGTTTGGAATTACCAAAAGACACATATTTAGAGAAACTTTTATTTAAAATGAAAAGCAAGTAAGAATATATAAGAAATGAAATCAAAATAGGTATGATCCACTGGCACTGCCCCCCAATGCCTTAACAGTATTCAATTTTTGATATCACAATATTTATATATTTTGAGGTGGTCAAATTTTTATATCGAGATAAAGGAAGGAAATGGTGATCCATTTTCTGCTATTTGAACACAGCATATTCCATACTTGGGAAGTACAAGGAACACAACCTTACCAGAGAATCTTAAAAGATAAAAACATCAAACTTCACATGTATACAAAGCCCTCTAAACTAGCTGTCTTAGTTAGGGTTTCTATTGCTGTGAAGAGACACCATGACCACAGCAGCTCTTATAAAACATTAATGGAGTAGTTTACAGTTTCAGAGGTGTAGTTCATTATCGTCATGGTGTGACATGGTGCTGGAGAAGGAGCTGAGAATTCTACACCTTGATCCAAAGGTGACAGGAAGTGAACTGAGAGAGTGGGCCTGACTTGAGCATATGAGACCTCAAAGACCATCCCCACAGTGAAACAGTTCCTCCAACAAGGCCACACCTACTCCAACAAAACCACCGTCTTTAAAATGTCACTCCCTATGAGCTTATGGGGGCCAATTATTCAAACTACCACACTAGCTCTCAAAGCACCTTACAATGATTGACACTTTTCAAGTGCTTTCCCTTAGCATCAGTCAAGGATTTAATTAATGCAGAGAATATAGACCTAAATAACTGGCCTTTTCCAAGTGTGAACACATGAAGGGGTTAGGAGTTCAAAGCAAACAATTACTCCCAATAAAAGATGATTAGTCAACTCTCAAAGCCCTTCATGCAAATACATTTAGTCCCTATGTCAGAACCATTCTTCCAAGATATATCATGGTGACTCACATTACACAGAAGAGGGCCACAAGTTGCTTTGACTTAGTCTCTACCGAAAACTATTAGTCTGTCCTACAGGTGCCAATTCTAAAGAAAGTGAATAAGCACAGCACTGAAAGGCACAGAGCAACAGGTGTGGCCATACTTAGTAAAAGGAAGCAAGGGAAAAACTTCGAGTTGGTTCATAAGGGACTGTTGAATATTATAGGAGGCCAATGTTTAGACTGAACTCCTGCTGCCCTAAGCCCCAAGAGGCCATGCCAAATGAAGTCACTTATGCCAAATGTCACATAATCAAACAAACTTCTAAAGATAAAAAGATCAAGAGATGAGTTTTCCCTGAAAACAAAAGGTTCCAGTTTAACATGATTGAAACATAGTAAGCATATATCCTCTATTTTTGCCCTTACACTTTTTTTTTAGAGAAAGTAACATGTCAGCCAATTAAGTTTTTTCTTTGTGTTCTTCATAGTGATCTTTGAAGAGTAATTCTGGATACTGTGTCATTACATTAGAACTAAGTTATGTACAGTGGGAGAAACCCAGAGAGGCCAGACTGAACTGCATGACACATTTGGCTCATTACTGGCATAGCAAAGGCATCACACGCATATGCAGCCACAGTGTACAATGCATCTCAGATTACTTCATTCCAATGGTCATCAACTTATCTAGACCCTCCTTACAATGATGGAAAACTGGGATACTTAAATATCCTCCAAAGGGGCATTTCCCAATTAAACTACTTTTTCCCCCAATCCAAAGGTTTCCCAAATAGTAATACAAATCACTTGGAACCTAGTTTAAAATGCAGGTAGTGGGGCAGAGTCTGAAACTCATCATTTATAAGTTCCCAGGTACTTATGTGACTAGACCTTAAGTTACAAAGATCCAATCCATTCTGCAAGGCACTGCCATGCTACACTTGCTAAATACACTTTTGCCATGTAACTGCCCCAGGAACCCACATTAATTCAGTGAATCCTCTATAAACTACACTCAGTCACTGGCCCAGAATTTCAGGGCACGCTTGCCTTTCTCCTATTTTACCCAGTCCAACCTAAATGTTTTTGTTGTCTCATATCTGAGATAAATCTATATTTCACAGTATGTACATTTCAAGTGTGGAATTCAACAAGCTCTGGTAAATACATATACCCAAGTACCGCTCCCCCGCAAAGATCTAAAACTCTATCTCAGTAACCCTGGGCCTTAATCTAACTCTATAAACGCTCTTCCACCTTTTCAGAGCCCAATACCTGTTTTTCAAAACTTCCTGAAAACATCCTTCCCCACAGCACACCGCAAATAGCTCATACAGCTTTCACTCAACTGCCACTGTGGGCATCTTACAAGTCTTTCTGACTATTCTGTCCCACATATTCACCTATAGTTAGAATGATCTTTCTAAGTTATAATTCAAATCAGCTCACTCTCTTCCATCCACACCCCACATGACTTAGCATCACAACAGCAATAAATCCAAACGCCTTCCCTTCTCTGACCCCGTTTCCTGCTACTTTCCTCACGTCCTCTATGCAGGTCAGATCATCCTTCTATCACGTCCGATCATAATTTTAAGATGCTGCAATGATTATTTCCTGTTCTTGCCCATTTGCACAACAATTTCCTGTCACTCAGGTCTCAGCTTTGGTCAACTTTTCACAGACACCTCCCTTATCAAGGAGTTCTAAGACCGTTCAGTCACTCTCTAGCACAAACCCTACTTATCAGGAGTTCTAAGACCATTCAGTCACTCACTAGCACAAACCCTACTTGATCTGCCCAGCCTCTATCACTGCTTTGCCTGCTCTTTATGCGTTTGCTACCTCACTCTGATCGCAAGGATATGACCTTATGACTATGGCATCAGGCAACAGTGCTCACAGCTGCTAAGTCCTGGGTCTAGAACAGTTACTGTCTTTTTACAAGTAAATGCTCAACAACTGTCTTCCATAGAAATAAGGAAATACAGAAGACATAATGCACACTCACACTGGGGGTGGACAGGGTGCCTGCTGTCCTAATAGAGTAAGAAGGCTATTGCCAGTACTGCAGCAAGATGAATCTATTATAGGGGAAAGGGAACAAAGAACTGACCTTTAAGTTTCAGCAAAAACAACACAAAACACAGATAATGCCAAAGTTTATTCACATAAAGTTTAACAGTCAAGTTAATGAAAATATCAAAAATTTTGAGTTATGGCAGCAGAAATTTTTTCTCGCAAATACAGTATTTGGTGTTTCTGTCTCAGACGCTATGCTGCCGAGAGAGCAATTGCATTGAATCTTAACTCATCAGGGTCACGCTCCATGAACTTCTTGCAAACTTCTATGGCATCCTATGGGAGGGAAAGTGTAAGTTTTCAGTTTATAAATTCTGTTTTTCTAAGTCACACTAATATTATACTGAATACTTCTTTTTCCAATATGAAATGAAAACTAAAAATGTCAAGGAATAAACAGGTGGTAAACTAATTTGTCTAGCATAAAATACAGTGAATACCACCTTGCCCTGCCTGCTTCCAGGACTGAGGATCAAACAGAGTCTTGCTCAAGTCCTGTCCCCTCCCCATTTCCAGGGTCTCACCAAGTGGCCCAAGCTGATCTTACACTCACTCTGTAGTCAAGCAGGTCAATTCCCATTCCTCCTTTCTAGCTTTTCCATGTAGCTGTGGTTGTTAATCTCTGCTATGAAACCCAGATGATTAATACTGTTCCTTGGGGTGACTTTCTAAACCTTTGCACCCATCCAGGAGTTGTGGTACAACCTTCAATCTCAATCCTCAGGAGGTAGAATTCTGCCAGTTTGAGGCCCGCCTGGTCCACACAGCTGGCTGCCAGGCCAGCCAGTTCTATCTGCATAGCAAGACCCTGTCTCAGAACTAAACAAAATTTAAAAAACAACTTTTAACCTAAAAAAAAAATCACATAATTCCTTGACACTAAGCCACACAACTTGTTTTATTAGAAGATCTCTATAATTAGGATCAAGCCACAACTAATGCTATCTTGGACTCAATGGAACATGACCTGTAAGTGAGTAACTCATTTTATCTTTTTCAAGCTTAAGCTTGTTCACACAGAGCCCTGGAAGCCTCTTGTTTACATAGTTTTAAGACCAATTCAGAATTTTGCTTGGGGATTTTCTGAAAAGATCAAGGACCAAGAAGCATCCACAGAGAGAAAATCCACGGCCATCTTTCAAGAAGTATATAGAGGACAGGAAGTTCAGGAAAGGTTAAACGGGCCAGTTCTTTTACTGATACCTCTAACAACGTCTCATCACTAGTTTTCCCATGGTTAATTGGAAATGGTTTCCGTCCATCTGTGGAAAATAGACAAATAGGTAAATTCTTCTTTGTTTTTACCAGACAATGCATCTTACCTTCCATTGCCTTTCTTACAGTGAAACAAGAAGAGTTATATAGTTTAAGTAATATATCTAAAAACAAAGATTTTCAAATATGTAGCCTATGGCTTTAGCTCTCCCCCATATATCACAATTAGTATATTTATACCATTCACATTTAAAGTAATTATGCATTTGGGTTAACACCAACCCCAGGCAGAGGCTTCTCTTTCGGGATTTCTTCATTTCAAAGAAATACTTTACATGGCTGCACTTTCTTTCCTTAGTTCATCAGTGGGGCTTCTCTGGGTTACTGCTTGGTGGTTTCCTGGTATTTACAGTACACATTTTAACTAAGGTATGTCCATCTATCGTCAAAGATCCCTTTTCTGCTTTATGTATAGGTCTCTACAAAAGAATTCCCAATTGGCCCATAGTAAATCTTTTTTGTTGGTGTTGTTTTCGTTTTTCAAGACAGGATTTTTTGTGTGGCCCTGGAAATCCTGAAACTTGCTGGCAGCCATCCTGAAACTCAGTGATGCAGGGATTAAAGGTGTTCCTCCACCATCCTGCAATCATTTTTACTTTTAAAGATACACACACTTTTTTTTAACCTTTAAAGCTAAATCAGAAGGTTTGATATAAGAATGGCATGATTTTATCAATGAAAAAGCTATACTATTCTAGTTTAATTGAGTACTATCAATGAAACTAACATAAAGCAATAATTAAAACAACCTAGAGCTATTTACTGACTAAAGTATTTATGTAAATTCACAATCATCTTCAATAAGCTAGTACTTTTCAATATTATGAAAAAGTCCACAATGACAAAAGCCACTGTTAATCAAGTGAACTGATCCATATCCAAATCAATAACCTCCCACAAAAGGTTGTTTCAAAAATAAACAAAGAAAAATAAACACAATAATAAAGCAGTTTTATGACAGATGCTCATTCCTCCATAGCCCTTCCATGCTACTGTTGTAAGAATAGACTATATGCATTATGGTCTATTCCACATAACTATATTGTTTTACTCTCCTGAATAATTTTCTTTCATATGCAGAAGTTTAAATATTAAAGAATTGTTATATTAAATATTAAAGAAGTATTCTTGAGATGTCAAAGAAAAAAGCAAAATGAAACTATACACTTGTTCTAACATCAGTTTACAGCAAAGATAAGGGGGGGCTAGACAGTCTTCAGTTGGATTTTGTTACTAACATTAGGAGGTGCTGGGGACTGACCCAAGTGCACCAAATATAATAGAAAACTCTCTCACTGAGCTCTATCCTTGATCCTCTTTTAATGAGAGCTGGAAATTTACTCTGAGTTTGAAGATAGTCAGGGATATATAGTTAGACCATATCTAAAAGGAAGGTAGGGGATAACATGATGAGAAGTTACATATTTATATAGCCTCAAAGGATTTCCTAAAATAATATCTAATGCTAATATCTAAACCAAGTGACAAAAGTTAAAATGACAGGAATGTGCAAATGGCCTCTTGATCCAATGACTAGAAAGAATATAACTGTTTGATATATTCTTGTCCCAAAATGCAAACACCATGAGCAAAGAGCCGACCACCCAGAAAGAAGGAAAACCTAGAAGTACCTGTCCTAGCTTCTTAAAAATAAATGTCAATGACAGGAAAGACAATAAAAGGTTGAAGAACTTTTGAGATTCAAGGAGCAAAGATATAGAACACAGCCATTATAATCCTGGGTTGACCTCTGAACCTCTAAGTGGCATTACTGTGATAAATGTATAACCAGCTCCTTATGTAATAATGTATCCACCTCTTTTAAGGAAATACATAAAGAGGTATTCAAGGATACTACAGCATCATATACATAACACATTTTCAAATGTTTCAGAAATAATAACAGGATCTGACAAACATAGGAAAAAGGTAAATGGAAGCTCAATATATTATTCTTCTAATTTCCACAAATATCCAAAATTATTCCAAAATACATATTTTCAACTTTACCTTTAAATTCATCAGTTAACATTTTTAAGTATGCTTATTCTGTCTACTTGGAATTCACCACTGAACTCCAATTTGCAAATTTATCCAAAAGGAGTGATTCATCTTTAAATATGCTAGGAACTTACTGAGGCTTCAAGGAAATGAAATGATCATTACAAACCAGAAATAACTTGTCATTTTCATTGGTTAACCTCACAACTTAGTAAAGAGTAAATAAGTAACAATGCCAAGCAACTGTCCTGTAAGAATCACCTGCATTATCTTACAAACAGTCTTAAATACAAGATTTTACAGGATGGAGAGAACTCAGGGACAGACTGCTTGCCTAGCATATATGAGGTACAATCCCAAGAACCAATAAATAGTTATTTTTAAATAGCCGTTTTCTTAAACATTGTATTCTCTTAATCTATTTTTATTCATGAATTCAGTATGAATTATTCAGCTTGCTCAACATTCTTTTTGAATTAGGACTATTAATGTCATTCACATTGGGGTAACAGCCAATTTCTGCTGAAGGAATCAGCAACTGTGAATTTTTATTTGTTTAGTACCTATTCCAATTCTCTACAATACTTCCAAGACTGTGGCTCTCTTTCATTTCTAGATTTCTTTAAATTCACTTTAAAACTCTAATATCAACAGGTCTCCAATATAGATAGGTAGATAGATAGTCCTATACATTTTAAAAATGTTGGTGTGTGTGCACGCGTCCCCACACGTGCTCATGTGCTTTTATGAACACATGCACATAGAGGCTGATGGAGGTACAATATCCCATGGAGCTGGAGTCAAAGGAGGTTGTGAGCTGCCTGATATAGGTGCTAGGGACCTGGACTTAGACTTGTGCAAGAACAGCACGTCCTCTTAACCTCTGAGCCACCTCTCCAGCCTGAGCTTACCTTTAATGTACGTTTTTCTTTCCAACTGCCTCACAAGCCTTTAGGATCAGAGAGCAATTTGAGCAACCAAATGAAGGGGTTTTGTTTTTATTATTACTTTGTTTTATATACGAGTCTTTTGCCTACATGTATTCTGTGCACCACCTGCATGTCTGGTGCCCACAGAAACCAGAAGAGTATCATGTCAGATCCCCTGGAATCATGTCAGGTCCCCTGGAATGGGAGTACAGACCCCTTTGAGCCACCATGTGGGTGATGGGAATTGGGAGCTCTAGGGGGCAGCCAGTGCTCTTAATTGCTGAACCTTCTCTCCAGCATTCCCTGTCCCCATGAGTTCTTACTACAACTCTTTCCTTCTCACTGTTGTTTCCACACATCTTCGGATGTTACTCTTCTCTAGAAATCCTCTCATTTTTCAACGCCAACATCAATATTATAATCTCTGGTTATATACTGTATTCACTGTTTCTCTATCAATTTCAGTAAACAAAGTGGGCACAGTCCCATTCACAACAAGTAGAGCCTGGTTATTTCTCTCCCCAGGATAAATTAAAAATAGTTCTTACCTAATTCATAGAGATGCCCATCTACATGAACTAACGCAATAAAATGAAGATCTATTTTTTCATCTATACTTGGTGCCTGGAATAGGAGGGAAAAATAAATTATGTACATTAGTAGTTAAATAAATCGATCAAGTACAAATAAGTGTATATAAATAATATCAAATAACAGAAGACATTTACCCAATATAAATCAAGGTCAATTACTGATATGATGCACAGACTAGCCATTGTATGTTTGTGACACCATGTTCACCATCAACAAGGACAATACATCTTTTAGTTTCACCTAATCTGGAAACTGAACATTTTGTTTAACTTGGAAATCTCACTGTCGAGTATAAGACACTGTACATGTGCACAGCATATGCACAATGTACACTATTCAATGAAATGAATGACTGAACTGAATTAAAACTTCAATCCATGAATGTTAGAAGCTCTTTTGAAGTTAAATTTTAGGACACCAGAGAGTGAGTTGTTTGTTGCCTGAACTTAAAAATCTCATGTTTTGAACAATGCAATGTAAAGAAGTATTCTGGATTCAAACAGCTTATAAATGAATAGATCTAAGGAAATAGTTCTAATGATTATAACTGGAGAAAATAAAAATTAACATATAATAAACTATAACCTACAATTCTTTCTTTAATGAACAGGCAAAATTCACATTTCTTATATGTTTGATCACTTAGGTAAAGTTAATAAACAAACTAACATTTTATGATACATATTAAATGTGTTAGCTATTTTACCAAATCTAAATAAACTGAAATGGAGTGCAATCACAGCTAAATATAAATGAAACTTCAATTATATGAAGCAAAAATATCCAAGTAGTTTAAATCAAAGTATGCTTAATATTACCAAATATATTTTAATACAGTATCTTACAGCTCAAAAGGTTATTTTCACCTTCAAATAATTATATGTTTTTCAATAGTATAATGTAAATGTCTTTGATGCAGAAGTTAAAGTTACAGAATAACCATTACTTTTTTATTTGTTACTATTTTGTAAGGCATATAGAATGCTTCTAAATGTTACTGACATGACTAATTTAATCTTATTCTCCTGAAATTATTTCCCTTGAGTTATGAGTGAAAGAAAGTCTTGATGAACTGATATGCAAACAAACTCTCATTCTTCCAGTCAGAACTGAAGACTTCCGCAGTTGGTATGAATCAAAGTCACATAGTTTTATCATCACTCCACTACTGTGCTCCTCTTTACCATAGTCCTTCTAACGACAGAGAACTGCCATTACATTTTGAGACAATCTATCCCACTAATTTGACAGTTTTATAGAGTCATTTCTCATTGGTGCTAAAATATTTCTCATGTTCTCCATTATGTCAGACAAAACCCTAATTCTTCTTGAATCTAATAGTTCTTCAAATATTTAAGGTCAATCATAACTAATTTCTTCCCGGTCAAGAAAATACTTGTGATTACTCAATCTTGTATCATTTTATTATCAGTGACTAGAAGAAAATCTGATCTTTTCAAGGCTGAGCCAAGGCAAATCATAAATTCATTAAAAAATAGAAATGCTACAAGTAATTCCTTTACTGAGAATCTTAGTGTCTGACAACATGACAATTTTTAAAGAATATCAAGTATCTGAAGCCTTTGGGTTATTTTTTCATAAATGAATTACCTGAACAATTTCCTTTAAGAACTAAACATCATATAGCTTCCATTTTGCATATTTGCTACTTAGGTGCAAAGCCACTAGAGGTTAAAAACCTTCAACTGGAGTTGGGGACTTGAATGTATACCCAGCCCCTGGGAGCTTTGGGTTTTTTCTTTTTGTTTTTGTTTATCTGTTTTGAGGTTTAAATGAGTATTAAGCTTACAGATGAAGTTGACTGCAACGGGATTTTTAGTTGTTGATTTTCATTTTTTAACTTTATTTTTCTTTCACCTGTCTGGGTGTTTTTCCTGCATGCATGTCTGTGTATCACGGGCATGCAGTGTCTACAGAGGTCAGAAGGGAGCATCTGATCCCCTGGCTAGAGTTCCTGAAGGTTGTGAGCCACCTTCTGGGTATTGGGAATTGAACCCCAATCCTTTGAAAGAGCAACCTGTGTTCTTAGCCATTGAGCCATTTCTCCAGCCCCACCCCCTCGAAGTTTAAATGAGATTGTGAGAATATTTGTGAACTGTTAAATAATACTATACAAACCTTATATACTGTTATAATATTAATACATCATCACAAATGTAAGCAAGTATCATCAAATCTAATGTATCAAAATTATGTACCAATGTCCCTTTTAAGTAAAAGTGAACATTAAAATGCAAATCTCAAGCCAGGTATGTTGGCACATGCCTATAATCGAAGCACTCGACAGGCTAAAGCTGGAAGATCAAGACTTTGAGGCTAGCCTGAGATGCACAGCGAGATCCTGTCTTAAAACAAAAAGCAGTATATGAAAAGCCTTCAGACTTGTCATAAGAGGTCGATGTTTCAATTTCCCTCAAAACCTTATTATTTCTGGTGAGTTTTATCCTTTGACCAACTCCATTAGTCTGAGAGTCTAACATCTGCAATCATTCATTCAACTGCCCAACAAGTACTCCAGGAAACCCAAGAGAAAGCAAACAGCAAGTTCCAGTATGTCTTCCTGTCTAAAAATAGCAAATAACTGTAGCACACGTGAAAAACAGAAGCTATAGACTGGTAAGTTTTGCCTATGTTTTTCTTTTAAATCCTCAACTTAGAAGGTTTCTCATTAATTCCAAAGAATTAAAAAGTGGAATAAGTAAATTATCAATGCATTTATTAATTACTAAGCATAAATCTTACACTAGAAAAAGCCTTAATGTATAACTAGGGCACTTAATCTACACCAGGTACTGATGGAATGCTATATTTGTATTGGCCAATTAGTGCCACAAATCCAGTCAGTAGGCTTATATGCTCATATACATCATACATTCAAGAACACAGAGAAGATAGGTCTTAAGTAGCACATTTGAATGGCTAACAAGTGATGGCCCCTGGACCACAACTCATGCAATGTAGCTTCAGTCCAAGTTCTTAAGTGATAAGGCAATGGAATTAATACGTAGCAACAAACAAAACAAAAACAAAACTGGAAATGCCAAATAAGATGCTCATTTACGTTTATGATTTTTAAATACAGAAGAAATTATTCACACTACTGTCCTTCAGTTAGAAGGTATCAGATTGTACTCTGTTCTTCTAATTCACCTTTATCTCTCACCGTGCCAAATAGTACATAGCACAGCAGAGAAGCACAAATATCAAATGAATAAAAATGGCAAATGAATGCTGTAATCTGGTGAGGGAAGGAGGAGAGAGAGAGAGTGAGAGAGAAAGAGAGTAATAAGCAGTCTGTTGATATTCAGCACAAATGAAAACTATGTCATGGCCACACTGATATTCAGTAGAAGCAACTGCTTAAAGAAAACTGTTTACTTGATAGTTTGAAGGCAGCTTTAAAAAGGTAAATGAGGAAGGAGAAAGGGGGTTTGACATTTAACTGGTTTTAAATGTTGAAATGTATGCTTATTTTGACTTCCTCTCACTTCAAACACTATAATGATTTATAGAAATAACAAGTTTCTATGGATGTGCGGCACACAAAGCTTTCAGATACTGCATTTCTAGATGGGCTCTGTCAAACCACAGCCATTGTCTTTAGTAGCTTAGAACATCACAAAGACAAGAGCATGGTTGCTTTATTCTGCAGTGTTTTAAGGTATGAGAACTATTGGAATCCTATCAACTTAGATATTTAAGGCCATATGTACATGCATATATAATAGCTGATACTTTTAGCTTACAAGAGAAATAAAATTTGTGGGACACCTATATCAATACACAAGGAGCAAATCTCCACCTCCTACTTGGAAAAGATCTATCTTTAGAAACTTAATTGACAGGAAAGATTGGATCAAGAGTAAACCAAGTACCTGAGCCACATCAAAGAATAAAATAGCTTAGATGCAACATGCTACACACCATGAAGGATTTAGATTGAGGACAGAGTAAGCAAAGTGACCCAGAGCATGGCAAGAGACTATTCATGCTCAGAAACATGAAAAATAATAATAAAGGAACAGATGACAAAGAACTCAGAGGGCACATAGCATTTGTTGACCTAAGTTATCTAAGTGAAGCCGGAAAGCTGAAGGGTAAGGAACACACACTCACTTTAACAATTCATCAAACTTAGTATTATCACAAATGCCAGTCAGTATTCATCAACAGGCACGTGCCCTTACATTCATAGGATATGGAGTGGAAAGATGGATGCTCACCAAGGCACAGGCAAAAGTCAATCTAGACTGCAGAGCATGGAGGTATGCTCGCAATCTTATTGGGATAGGAAAAGCTAATGGTTAAGTGACCCAAGAGAAAAGCACCTTAAAGACTGAAGACGTTTAAGGAAAAACAAACACACAAACAAAAAGACTGCCCTCGCCACTGGGAGAAGAGATGAAGATTGACTACACTTACAACAGAATGGAGACCCAAAGATGGCAGGCGTAAGAAGGGTCGCCAGCGACGAAGACGGAGAGATGGACTGGTAACCGCCTTTGCAGGGCCTACATGGTTACGTTTGACCCAGGGCAGGGATGCATGGTGACACAATGATGAGGCCTTCGTTCTGCAGTGGCTAGAATGAGGCTGTGATGAGGATGGCGAGGACTACATAATTAAAAGAGAGAATATTTTACTTAGACCACGTTACTGGGTGATCGTTTATCCTTAAAAGCAACGTATGGTCATTCTTGTATTCATATGGTCGAGTACTTTTAATAATTGTATTCTAGTAAAAGATCACATATGAATGTTGCTTAAAGTGGGTAAAGTGGGAATTTATAATCAAGCACAAGGTCATGTTACATAACTTCATAAGTGCACATCCGAGTATTTACATATCCTCATTTTCATTGCAGACTGGGGAAACTAAAGATTTAAAAGCCACTAAAATAGTATCACTATATATATCTGGCTTTAAAAATGTAACACACGAAATCCATGTAACAGAGACAAGTCACAAAGAACAAAAGTGGAAAGAAAACTGAACCATAAAAGGCATTGGTTAGAACAATTAGAGTATAAACTCTAATGACAGGGAGCAAACCCTAAAACCCTTCTGAATCAACTAGTAATCCTTGTCATTAGCGGACAAGTTACAAAGAAGGCGTTGCAGCCTCTTGTCCATCTTTTGAGTAAATGTTATATAAAGTGTGAACACTTCAGGTACTCTCTGAAGGGTCACATTTCTATCAGTTCATTATCTCCCAGTAACCTGTGCGATCATTACAACTATATTTGCAGAGCACAAAAGGGGGAAGTGACAGAACCTAGGTCATGCTGCCAGCATGCTGGGAGGACGGCAGCTAAACCAAGAGATGAGGTTCTAGAGCACAGAGCCCATATGGCCAAGGGAAGGGTCTGACGCCAGCTTTTATTACACTAGGTCATAGTGAGCCAGGTGTGATTGTCTTAAGGATAGATACCGGGGGAAAACTTCCCAAATGCTGTTGTTCACAAAATATACGGGATGTAAAAAAACTTCTGGTAATTCAGTCATCTTATAATCGTCACCTTCAACAGACAGCAACAATATGAGTTTCTAGCCTAACAAAGCCATTACCAGTGTAACTACAGTGAGAACAAATAAAAAGAATAGTTGTCAGTTCTTAGGTGATACAACACTTCACCAGCCATGACATTAGGAAAGTGACCTGAACTTGAAATGATCTCTACAACTCTTCGGAACCTCAAAAAAAAAAAAAAATCTATGATCCTTGTTGGTACTCCTGATCTATGTAAAGGTATACACTACCTAAAACAAAACTGTCGCTTTTCCCACTGACGTTTAAGAAAAGTTCAGCATCTTAGCCAGCATTTACAATATTAACCACCCACCAGAAATAGATACAAGAATCCCATACTTGACTACATCTGGGAAGAAAGGTGACTACAAGTGTTTGCTGTCACAGACTGGTGCCTTCATTTGAGATGAGAGGCAAAGGGAGGAAGAGAAAAGGCAAATTAGTGAAAGGGGAAATGGAGTAAAGAGTCAGATGAAGGTAGAGACTAAAGAGTGGTGGAGAGAAACTGTCTTCTAAGAATCTGGAGAACAGAGTATCATACCACAATTACACACTAAAATAATGATAGGAGGTTGGCAGAGATGAGATGGAATAAGGAATTCTGGATCAAGATTTCATGTTAAACACACACACACAGGAACAAGTAGAGCATGTTCAAGAATAGATCTGGGATTTGATTTTTATCTTTCAATCTAGTAAGTCAAGTGTCATTTTTCCATGGGTGCTGACAAAGCCATGGGATTTCTAGGTTAGATATACCATTCATGGCACAAGGAGGGTTGACAATCTATGTGCAGTCACAGAGGACAATAAAGAGGACCCAGAAGGGTGCTACACATGCAGTAGGCTGCATGGAGGAGAGGATCGCTACACTGGAGGGAGCCACCGTTTTACAGCAGGCAGTGGGCAAACAAGCACCCTGTCCTGGAGGCCGCCACTCCCATTCCTTTCAGATGCTTACTAATGCACGCCTTTAGGTATTAATAGCCTCATTCTTCTGTTTTTAAAAACATTTTAGTAATTTCAAGCTTATGAAGTTACAAAAACACAAATGGCTCATGGAATATCGATATATCTTGGATACATCATATGCTTGATCATGTGTATTTACGCTGTCTTTCCTTATAATTTTTCTTCCTGAGAGCAAATAGTACCCATTTATGGGTGTGGTATCCAATATTTTCACCCATAAGCACAAATGCCTCTTCATATCCATGAAGGAATGGCTGCAGAAATGCTGGTATAGAGAAATCTGTGGATACTCACATATCTTACATAAAATCTTATAATAGTACTTACATATAACCTGCAAGCATCTCCCCACATACTCAGTCACCTCAATTACTTCTTATGACATCCAATACAACTTCAACCCATCGAAAGGTATTGCACTGCATCATTTAAAGAATAATGAAAAGGGGCTGGAGAGATGGCTCAGCAGTTAAGAGCACTGACTGTTCTTCCAGAGGTCCTGAGTTCAATTCCCGGCAACCACATGGTGGCTCACAACCACCTTGAATGAGATCTGGTGCCCTCTGCTGGCATGCAGGCAGAAGACACTATACACAATAAAAAAAAAAAAAAAAAGAATAATGAAAACATATCTGCAAATCGCACAGGCACTTTGGGGAAGGGAGGTGAGACAGGATTTCCAGACAGAAGTCTTTATCTTTACAACATAACATTTGCTAATATTTTTGTAATTTTAAATTATGTATGTGAGTGAGTGTACATGGCATATATACAGTTTCCCACAGATGTCAGAAGAGCATGTTGGATACCTAGAGCAAGAGTTAAGACGTGGGTACTGAGAATCCTTTAAAAGAACAGTAAGCACTCAATCATGGGGCCATCATCTCTCCAGCCTTCTTTTCCTATATTTTAACTGTCATTTTTCTGTGCATTTTATTTAAAATGACCCGCTTATAGACACATAGTAGAGTCATGTATTTCAACTAAGTTGATAATCTTTCTTCCAACTTACAGGTCTACATTTAACTGACTTCCACATTTTAATTGCATGTCATTTTCCCCTATGGCTGGATTACAATCTGTATTGTTAATTTTGTTTTTCCATTTATTCTTTGTTACAGTGTTTTTAAAAAAAATTTTTTGTTTCTACTTATCTTTACTATAGGCATATTTATATATTTAAAAAATCTATTTAGCAATTGTCTTAAGATTTATAGTTAAGTGTCTTTAGTCATAGTGTTTTTTGTTGTTATGTTGTTGTGTAGCCCTGCTGTCCCGGGACTTGCTTTGTAGAGCAGGCTGGCCTTGAATTCTCAAGAGATCCACCTACCGCTGCTTCCCTAACGCTGGGATTAAAGGTGTGCACCATCACCCAGCTGCTGTGTTCTTCAAATAACAGCACACAACTTGATACTTTATATTAACCTCACAATACTATCAAAGTGTTTTCTCGTATTCTTTGTACGATCATCAAATGTTTTTACATATGGTATAAATTTCTAATGTTTGGTTACTGTTTATTTAGACAATCTGGGCTTCAATTTTGCTTTTGGAGCTAATGACTCACTATGAAGCCCAAGATGGCATCATACTTGAAATCCTCCTGTCTCAGCTCCTAACTGCTGGGATACCAGTGAGTGCCACTGTGCCCAGCTGCACAATTACCTTTTAGTACAATTAAAAGTAAGAAGAATGTAGCTGGAAAGACGGCTCAGGTGGTAATACCTACTTGTTCTTGTTCATTCCAACATCCACATCAGGCAGCTCTCAACCACCTGCAATTCTAGTTCCAGTGGGACCTGATGCCTTGGCTTCTGCAGGCACCTGCAACCAGGCATGCATGCTCACACATGTGTGTGCACACACAGAGGTAAAACACTCACAGGGTTAAAAATAAATCCTTAAAAATACATTTTTAATTACCTTTACTTGTCCCATCTCCAATTGCTGCATAGGTCCAAATTTCTTCCTGTTATCACAATGTTTCTACATGGAGAAATTCTTTTACATTTCTTATAATGGAAATAAACTAGAAATAAGTTCTCTTCATTTTTGTTTCTTACAAAGGTTTTGTTTCTCCATTTAAAAAGCTTTTTTCACCAATTCTTTCAGTACTTTAAAAGTAGTAACTTACTGTGTTCTAACTTGCATAATTTCTGATGACAAATCTGCCATAATTATTTGCTTATTGACATCTAATATACCTGTTTCTTCTGGGTCTTCTGAGTAGACTGAAGATTTTTTTTTTTACTTATCTTTTGTTTTCCTAAGTATGAATATATGAATATTTGTTATCTGGGAGGATGTCTCATGACAGGAATATTTATTCTACAAACTCTGAAGTTCTTGATGTCTTCACTTATTTTTGAAGAAACAGTTAACCATCAATTCTTCTGATGTTTTATATCTCAAGTCCTCACTCACCCACTGTCTCTCTCTTACCTCTCAGCCCCTTTCTCTAGAGTTCCACTTGCACATATTAACCATTTGAGACTGCCCAAAGCTCTGAGAGTTCTTCTGTTTTTCCTTGCCCAATGGGCTTTTCATTTCTTTTTGTAGTACTTTTGTACTTAAGTAACTTTTAGTTCACTGAGCCTTTTTTTAAATGCGTGTGAATTCACACACATGCGTGCTGTGATGCGCATGGGCATGACTGAAGACAACCTTGGTCATCCGTCTACATCTTTCTCCTTGTTTGAGGCATTTTGTTATTTTGTTCCGTACACCAGGCTAGGGCTCACGAGCTTTGGAGACTCCCCTGTCTGCCGTCCATCTCACCAAGGAGCACTGGGACTGTTAGACTCATGATGACTGTCTGACTTCTCTCTGGGTTCTGTGGAGTTCAGGCTTGAGGAGCAAGTACTTTTATCCACTGAGCTATCTTGCCAGCCCAAATGCAATGAGCCTTGTTTTGTTTTATTTTTCCTCAGTTTTTCTGACACTACGGGAGAATTGTTTCAAGGCATTCTTCACTTCTGGCCCTGATTTTTGATACTAGCATGTCCATTTAATTGTTTCTTATAGTTTTCAACTCTGCTAAAAATCTCCATCTGTTGATGTTTCCCATATTGTCCACTTGAACCTTTAATGTCATTATTACACATGCCAACA